TGGCACCTGGATCACACACCAGTGTGTCTGGAACATCATCATGGAGGGGATGAATGTAGGAGGTGAGGCTGGTGAAGAAGGCTGCAAGCTTGCACCATTCCCACACCAGTTCTCCACATTGATGGGGTGTCTACAATTCAATTTATTTCTGATGCTAACTGCCTGATGTCAGAGCAGACCCCACAGGATAAGGACTTAGTCCCACAGGACTTCCTCCACTGCCGATGCTGGCCCCAAGTTGGCAGGTGTCCTCAGGCTATCTGCACTTCTGCTCATCAGACCACACACTGGGGATTCTCACGAATCACCCCGCAGCTTTGAAACTTTGCTAGAACAACACAGAGAACTTGGGAAAATCCTATGTTGGCTAATACAGTTTATAGAGGACACAATGAACAACTAGAAGAACAGCATAGGACAAGATTGGGGGGGGGGATGCAGGGGTCCCAAGGGTCCCTCCCAACACATCCACATGTTCACCAGCCCACAAACTCTTCAGGCTGCCTTTGTCCAGGATCTTTTCTTGGGGTTTCATCACATAGGCAGATTGAGCAAATCACTGCTCAAGTGACTGGGCACAATCTCCAGCCCCTCATGCCCACCCTCCAGGGGTCAGAACTGGTAGGACTGAAAGCTCTCAACCTCTAATCTCTTGCTTGGTCTTTCTGATGGCCATTCCATCCCCACCCCCCCCATCCTGAAACTTTCCTGAGGGCCCACCAGGGTACCCATGTGTCTCTGAGACATAATGTCAGGTACAGTCAAGGTGCTCTTTACGAATAACTAAAGACACTGCTATGCTGAGGAAATTCCAAAGATTTTAGAGCTGTGTGCCAGGAACTGGGGGCAAAGTCCAAATGTATGTCCAAATTTATTTTACCTCAAGGCCCCAAAGACAAAGGTAGGGGGGTTCCTTCCCTTGCAGGGAGACCTCCCAGGTCCTACCCACAGCCTGCACATTCCCACTCCTTGACCCCCTGGCAAGGCCCATCCAAAGCAGTGGCAGGAACCCTACTGTGGCTCACAGCAGCTGGGATGCTGGGGCGGGGCGCAGGCTGCAGAGACAGGCAGGGGCCAAAGAGCCTGGGCCTTCGGGGCCTGGAGAGGCATGCTAAGACGCCCCCACTTTAGATTCTAAGTGACAAGGAGCCCTGGGAGCAGAGGTGGTGCACGTGGAGAAAGGCCTCTTTTCTGCTGCGTGGGAACCATTCCTTGTGGGAACACAGAGCGTGGCTTCAGGGCAGGTTCTCACTAAAGCGTTCTTGAGTGGAACTGGGCAGTTGAAGCCTGAGACAGGTGATCCTGGAGGTGGGAGACTGACTAGGAAAACGTCCCCCCTGTTCAGGCAGAGCGGTGGGAAACAGAGGGAAGTGATCGCAGTGTTTCAGTCAGAAAGCCAGGCATAGCTGGACAAACACTGTCAGGGGTGGGCAGGCAGAGGGCACTCCAGGTATCCAGTTTGGGGCTCTGTGACAGGCCCTGGGGACACAGAAGTGTGAAAGGAAGGGTGGCAGCGGCAGCATCCTTGCAGACAGGCTGAGGATCAGCAAAAGGGATACTGAGCTTGGGCACACAGGGCCGGGGGAATAGAGACCCTCACACGGAGACCCGAACCAGGCCCTCACCCTCCTCCAGGGCAGTACGTGATCTTCTGTTGGCCGAGTGAGCCTGGGTGGCACCCTCCCCACCTTTCTTATGCTGTCCCCTCTTGGGGTAAGGTGGCTCCATCATCAGGTTTCTCATAGGAGTTAGCCAGGCAACCTGCCCTGCACACCCGGCTCAGAGGTGGGTGCAGATCAGGTGCTCCCTCCCCTTCCTCCAGCAGTGCTTGCTCAGGCTGGGACTGGGTCCTGGTCACCACACCCCATCCAGCCACCTTTGCTCATCTCAGGCAACTCAGGGGAAACCTGGATTCCCTGACTGAGGGACTGCAGAGTCTTCAGAAACGCAGAGAGATCAGCCTGACTCTCCCCCTTCTCCCGCCCCCACCCTCAAACTCCCCAAGAGTTTCCTTCCCAGCGCCATTGCCTCTGAGCCCAGTCTGCCCATACGTGTCCCACCGGAAAGGCTCCTGCCTTACCTGATTCAGGACTTCAGAACTGTGAGTCAGGTGCTCGAAGGGCAGCCTATATGGCAGGAACTAACTAGGCGCTCTGGGAACAAGCTGGGCAACGCTAGGGCATGCCCATGGCTTCTTCCCCTTAAAGAAAGAGGCCATTAATGTCCACTCACACTGCTCTGGGCTCACAAGCCCTAGTCACTCCCATCCCAGCAGACAGAGGAAGAGCAAAGCCCTGACTACAGAAGCCCCTCCCCATCTGGCCTCAGTCTTCTCTTGGTCCACGATTCTTGATGCACCCACAAGTTCCCTGCCCTGAGCCCAGCACAGCCCCCTCCACTGATCCTGGGGCAGGACCAAAGTGGGGCCATAGGAAGCGACTGAAGGCAGTCCAGGTTTCCTTCGCCTCCAGGCTGTGTGGCCCTGGGCAGTTGCTGAACTTCTAAACCTCAGTTTTGTCACTGGACAGGTTATTTGCGAAGATCCAAATCAGTATTGCATGCAAAGTGCTTTCATGGTGCAAATGAAGGCTTCCTTCCTCCCTGAAATTAACACGTGCAGCACTGGGGAGGGGAATATTAAGTCCATCCTTAAATAGAATTCGGGTGGGTCTGATAGCAGCAATTTCCAGATGAGGCTCATTTGTTGGCCACAGACTTCTGGGAGCACAGCTCTGATAAGCGGCAGTCAGGACTCAGCCGGCTCTGGCCCTGACCTGCGGCTGCACAGGCAAGCAGCGCCACCTAGTGGATATAGTTGACACCATGAATCAGTACGCAGTTTTATGGGGTGGGTGTCCTATCGCACCCTCCTATCCCACCTCTCTCACACGTGACAGGCACACATACACCATCGCGAACATTTACCACAGCCCTTACCCACACCTGCACCCACACACAGATGTTTCCCAGCCTCCCCCCTGCTGGGTCTCGCCTTGAGGCTGGCCATCAGCAGCTGTAAAACAATGCTTCCTTTTTCTATCCAAAAACTGATTCTGGGACTTGTGAGGACAGCCAAACTGTCTGAAAAGGAAATGGGGTGAGGTCACATTTGCTAAGGGCCTAGTACTGCCAGGCTTCAAGCCGTGACGTAGGTGTCACCATCACACAAAAAGGACGACTTATCCAAGCCCACCCAGCCAGGGAGGGACTCCAAACACCAAGCTCTGTAGCTGCTGCCTCCGCTCCTCTGAGCTCCACAAATTATTGCATTTTCTAAAATGCTGCTGTGGATCCTGTGACTTGCTTCTTGAACTGATATTTTTATTAGTACTTGGCCCAGCATTCTATTTTTGGTCCCAAGATTATTTTCTAAGTGACAACAGAACCCCAATTCTCAATGCTCATTGCTATACCTACCTTGTCCTCAGCCTCCTCCTGACAATGGGGTGTGAGTGTGAATGTGTACATGTGCATGTATGTGGTTTGGTGTGTGTGTGTGCATGTGTGTGGTTTGTGTGAGTATCTCTGAATGTGTGCATGTATGTGTACATGCAGTATTGTGATTAGTGTGTGGTATGAGTGTGTGGTGGGTGGGGTGGGGTGGGGTTTGTGGCACAAAGGCTGCAGTAAGAGACAGGTGGGGTCAAATACAGTTCTGGCTCTGGATGTCCTGGGTATCCCATCTCCTTTGTGTAATTCCTCTCCTTGAACAGAGGGTGCCCCTAGTGACTTGCTTCTAATGAAGGGAATATGGGAAACTGATGTGATGTCACTTCCAAAACTGTTACAAAAAAGACTCGGTTCCATCCTGAGTGCCCATTCTTGCTTTCTCGCTTACTTGTTCTGAAGGAAGCCAGCTGCCAGGCCCTGAGCTACCCTATGGAGAGGCCCATGTGACAAGGAACCTCACAAGAGGGGCTTCAGTCAACAAACAGCACGTAAATGAATGGTGCCGGTATCACTGGGCAAGCTTGGAGGCAGGCCTGCCCCAGTTGAGCCTTGAGATGATACCACAGCCCCTGGCAACACCTTAACGAAGCCTGTGAGAGACCTCAGCCAGAGGCCAGCCAAGCCACCCCTGGATCCCTGCCCCACACAACTGTGAGGTGATAAATGTTGTTTAAGTCACCAAATTTGGAGTAATTTGCTGTGCAGCCATAGATAACTAACACCTGGACCTTTCCTTTGCCTTTCTGAGTCCCAGTTTCCCTGCTATAAAATAGGCATTGGATCAGAGGACGTGTTCAGCACAGTGCCTGGCACAGAACAGAGACTCAACAAATTTGCTTTTTCCTTTCCACACCAAAGCCTGGCTTGGTGTATCACTCTCCCAAACAGCTTGAAGTGACGGAAAACCCTAAGTCAGACCCTGTTTGGAGGCTGGAGGCTGACGGAGAGCCCACCCCTTCCCAGCTGGTGACCGGAGTGCAGATTGCCATCTCTGGAGAATCCGGACCTGGCAGCCCAGCCATCTGGAGAGCAGGTCTGATGGTGTCAGCATGGGCCTCCCTCTGCTGAGTGGGAGCTGTGGAATCACCTCCAGCCACAGACGTTCTTGACCTCTGCCCTTACTGGAGGGAGCAAGACCCTCTCCAGGATGAGGACAGGGCCAGGGCTCCAGCCCTCTGATGGCCTGCTGGGAGTCCTCTGGACAAGGTGCTAACAGCCCCAATAGCAGGTTGACTCTGCCTTTCTCCCAGGGAGCCCAGGGATGCACTCGGTCACCACCCACAGGTGTGGGAGGTGCACCTGTCCCACTTCTGCTGCCCCAGCTGCACTCAGGCACCTTAAGTCCCTCTGTCTGTCCTCCTGGCTGAAGAGTGGGAGAGTGGGAGGAAGCCTCCCAGCTTCCTCTGCTGCTTCTTTCTGCTGCTGCTCTAAAGCAGCCCACTGGCATGCTGACCTGCTGCCTCTCTGCGGGCATCCCAGGACCTGGCTCTCCGAAATAGGCCCTGGGAGCCATGTTCAAGGTGAGCTATTGGGTCTCCCCTTGTGTGAGCCTAGCCAAGCCCCTTTTCTCCTGTGGCCTCTTGGGTCAGGTGCCCTAGTGCCACAACTCTGCAAAGGGCAGAGATCTCACCTCTGACTCCCAGGCTCCCAGACTGGGCTTGTACCTGCTTCATCCTTCCTCCTAACAAGAGGAGAAGGTGTTTGTCCTACTTTCTAGATGAGGTTCAGGGTCTTCGGCAAGGTCACACGGCATGGGTGGCCCTTCGCAAACACTCTTTGTTCCCCCAATTCTATGACATTCTTGGCACCGAGAGGCTGGGAATCTGCCCTCTCCTTGAATCTGGCCCTGGAATGGCTCGACCAGGAGAACAGGGCAGGAGCAATCCTGTGCCAGTTCTTCGGATGGGCTGCAAGGAGCTGGTAGCCTCCCCTCCTTGGAATGTCGCTCTTGGAACTCAGTCACCATGCTGTGAGGAAGCCTGAGTGGAAGGGCTGCACAAACAAGGAGGAACCAAGACCCCGGCCCTCAGCTGCAGCCCAGCCCCTGCTGCCAGCCAGCGCCTGCTCGTCCGCCACCAAGTGGGACCCTTAGTCCCGAGTCAAGCTGCCCCTGCTGACACCTCCATGTGGAGTCCTGTTCCAGCCCGCCTTGCAGTGTCCGCACTAAATAAACATTGGTCTTCAAGCCAGTAGGTTCAGGATGACTTTAAGTAACAGATACAGCAAGAAGTGGTGAGCACAGCTCAGCTGACAGCAAGGTCCAGGCTTCCATAGATTCCCAGCATGACAGGAATATCCCCAAAATCAAACTCCCCAGCTCACCGGGGGCCAGGAAATTCTTTTCTGACCCAACCTGACTGCATTTCACCTCCAAGCCCTGTGGGAAGGGTAGCAGGCCGAGGTGAGCCTGAAGCCCTTTGCCCTGTACAACCTCCATCCCTTGAGTGTGGGTAAGACTTGTGACTCTGATGAAATATCCCTCCCTCGATGAAGTTACTTATATGGCAGAGGGACTTTACAGAAGGCATTGAGGCTGTTAATCGGGTGACCTTAAGACAGGGAGACTTGGAGGGATCTCGTCAAACCTAGTATAATCCCCTGGGACCTCTAAATGTGGTTTTCTCTGGTTGGTGGGAGACAAGGCATTCGGATAGGTCTGACATGTAAGGAGGCTTAGGCATGAAGTAGGGGCTCCCTTGCTGAGAGGGAGGAGCAGGGGGCCAGGACCTGAGGATGGTTACTGGGAGCTTAAAACAGAACCCAGATCACGGCCAGCAAGAACACAGGGACCTCAGATCAAAATTCACAAAGACCTAAATCCTGCCAGCAACTTGAGGGAACTAGGAAGCAGAGTCCGCCAAGAGCCTCCAGATAAGATCCTGACCTGGTGATTTCAGTCTCGTGGGACCCTAGGCAGGTGACCCAACAGAGCCCATCTACACTTCTGACCTACAAGAACTAAGATATGATAACTGGGCGTTAAGTTGCTAAATTTGTAGCTTGTTACACAGCATAGATAATTAATATGACCCCATTCCTTTAGCTTCCAGACTCTTCCTTCCCTAGAAGTATCATTTCTTTCTTCATTGAAAACGGAGTGTCATGTAGGCCTTCAAGCACTGGCTGGTGTGGGGATCTACAGCCTGAACCAGGGCCCCTGAACCAGCTCTCAGGAGTAAGTGGTTCCACACATCAGTGGGTTCAAGTGTGGGCTCAGGATGGAACCCCTTAGTGTCCCAGGGTCAAGCCTCTGTGGCCTGGCAGAACCCCAGGGGATGGTAGCATCAAGTCCACTGGCCTCCAGCTATCAGGCTCCCAGACTTCCTGTTAGGGTGACTAAGCCCAGCCTTAATTAGCTGGGCTCTGATGAACTGGACACTCCCAATTCCCTCATTTCCAGGATAATAATAGCTCCCTGTTCAAACCAGACTTTCCTCCCAAAGGACCAATTTCAAACTCTTCGTATGGCTGATTTATTCTGCTCCCTGTCTAACTAATCCAGCCATGATTTGTCTCTTACCTTCTGTGAACCCAAGTAGAATTCTGGTCTGAATCCACAAGAACATCTCACAGCATAAGGACGCTGGCATATGGATGGAACTTAATGGGTTCAAAGCCTGTTCCTTTCCTCCCCTCCCCTTGCCACTCTGTCCTCCCAGTTAGCAGACCACACCACGGTTCCCATGCCCATTTTCCAGATTGGAATCCTGAGGCTCAGAGCACTAACGCAGAACATGGCAGGGGTTTCTAGTTACTTCATGTCATTGCCATTACTTCTTAGGTTTGGAAGGACAGTGATTTTTGTCTTCTATTACCAAGAAAGCCATCTCCATCAGAAAGAAGTGCCAGCCGGGATGTCCACCAGATTTTTAAGAGAACTGCCCCAACAATGATTCCAAGGTGGTATATTTATTTATCAGATTATGCAGGGAGATAGTGTTTGGATTCTCCATCTACTAACTGATTTTCTTATCTGTTTATATAGAAGTGAATTAAAATCTTCCATTATGGTTATAGCTTTGCAATTTTTTATCATTCTGTTGGGTTTTGCCTTATGCATATTGATACAATATTGGTTTTGATACTCCAGGGCTACGTTATTCAAGAATATACAGCTCATAATTGGGTATCATTCTTTTGAGGATAGTGAATTCCCATTACCCCCAAATGCCATTTGCCTTAAATTCTATTGTATCTGTGATTAATATTGCTTCACCATCATTATTGAGGTTTGCACATGCCTGGTGTATGTATTTTTTCTATCCCTTAATTTTCTGCATAATTTTATTTTAGTTCTGTCACTTGTAACAGCATATGTATGGATGGATTTAAAATTTTTTTAACCTGATGGTATCTATCTTTTAATAAGTAAGTTAATCTGTTTGCTTTTTTGTGATTACTGATATAACTTGGACTTACTTCAGCTATCTTATTTTATATCTTCTTTTTTCCATACCTTTCCATTGCTTCTCTTTTTATTTGTAGTTTTCCTGCACAGGCAATTTTTGCTTTCTTTATGGTTTTGAAATGATTACATTTTTCTGTTCTTGCAGTTGTTACCCTGATCTTTCCAATCTATATCCCTAACTTACCTTCTCCTTTGAGCTGAGAATAATCTGCATTATTATTCATCATCTCTATCCTTCCTCTCAAGTATGATAAGGATCTTGCCAGGCACAACCACCCAGCCATGGAGGCCTTGTCCTCAATTTGTTATTTTTGTCTGAAGTCAGTTTTACCTCTTATCCTGAGATATAAAATGACTTTTAATTTTTATAATCAAAAGTGCATTATAGATTCTGACATGCATTATAGATTCGATGCTGTATGAGTGATGTGTTGTTTAAATTATTACCAGTTTCCTGGCCCAACAGATATTCTTTGTACTAACTACATGTTCACATTTTCCTTAACATTAACTCTTGAGCCTTTTGAGATTCAGGGGAGGCCTGAAGCAAAGGCTTTTACTTCAAGAGAGGGGGGATGTGGTTGGAGGGAAGTGTTCTTATACCCAAGAGTGTCACAAACTGTCCTGTTCAATTTCAATGCTAACACATCTGAAAACTAAAAAAAGGAAAATCTTGAAAGCAGGGTAACGGACATTCATGCATATTAGACCAATGCAAAATGAGCACTACATGCACTTTCATAGAGCAAAATTGGCCTGAAAGGGACCCTTGGGGTAGAGGAAACTAAGGTGAGCATAGAATCTTAAATATTAAGAATCACTCCACTGCTAGTCCTCTGATGTAACCCACATTGACCACAATCTGCCCGCACTTCCATCTCTCCCCAGTCCTCGTCCATCTGCTCTTTATCTCCCATTTTGTCCATTTTCTCATCCTGCAAGTTCCTTTCGAAATCATTTTCAACTCTAAGCTCACATATGGTTCAAAACCCCTGGTTCTCCTGGCATTTTGCCATTCCCACCTTGCCAGGCTCCAATGCCAGAGGAGGCAACACCTGGCTTCCCCTCTGCCCCTTGGTCCGTGCAGAGCAGAGAGGGAGGCTGTGGAACTGCACGCCTCAGCTCCTCAACAAGCCAGTCCTTGCAAACCTCCCCTGGCCCCCTGAGGCTGCTGCATAACCCAGTTTTCCATCCCTTGCTGGCCTCCAGCAGGTTCCTCCAGCAGCTGTTCCCAATCTTTCTCCTCTCTCCAAGCCCACACACCCACCCCCACTTCCTGATGAATGAGCTTCATAATTTATTGAAATTTCATCTGATAATGACGTTCTTACTTTCTCTCCCCTTTGCCTCAGAATGTCTCTATCTTCCCCCAGTGGGTCTTTATTGAGAAATAGTCTTCCTCTTTTCAAGACAAACTTTTCCTCCTGGACTCTGGATCCCTCACCTTCCTGATTCCTTCTTGACCTCTTTCCACGAGTCTGTCTTATAACTTCTTTTTTTTTTTTTTAGCTTTACTGAGATATAATTCATATACAAAAGCATGCATATATTTAACTTATACATCTTGATGAATTTGGACATATGCATACTCCTATGATACCATCGCACAACCACAGCACCAAGGCACTAAAAATATACATCACTTTCAAGAAAATTTCCTTGTGTTCTTTTTTTTTCAGTAAGAATATAGCATGAGATCAATCTTCTTTACATATTTTAAAGAGTAAAATACTATGGGGCTTCCCTGCTGGCTTAGTGGCAAAGAACTTGCCTGCAGTGCAGGAGATGTGGAAGACCCAAGTTAGATCCCTGGGCAGGAAGATCCCTTGGAGGAGAACATGGCAATCCACTCCAGTATTCTTGCCCAGAGAATCCCATGGACAGAGAAGCTTGGCAGGCTACATTCCATATGGTTGCAAAGACTCAAACACGACTGAATTGAGTTAGCACACACACACTCACACACAATACTATATTGTTAACTAACAGGTAAGATGTTGTATAACAAAATCTCTAGAACTTATTCATCTTGTATAATAAATTCTATACCTGTTGAAAACAACCCCTCATCCCCTCCTACACCCCAGCCTCTGACAACAACCATTTTATTCTCTACTTCTCTGAGGCTGGCTATTTTAGATGGCTCATATAAGTGGGATCATGCGGTCTGTGTCCTGTGACTGGCTTACTTCACTTGGCA